CAAATACAACCTAGTGGGATTGCAATAAACACACCTAAGTATGTATTAAGTTTTCAATACAAAATGAATTAGATGACTTTTAATGTAGAAGCGCAGTCCTTGCATTAAAAGCTTTTACCCCACTCTATCTGAAATGTTGAAAGCTGAGTTAAGACATTTAAGATGACTCCTACTGCAAAGCAGAAGTTGTAGCTTGAGCTCTAATAGGTCTTAATAATCAAAACCTGGCGTCAGATATTAAGGGGAAAATTGAAATTCCAGAGGAGCAAAGCAGTCAACCACCACCAAGACCCTATCTACCTCAGACCAAAGGGGCGATCCTGTCCTCAGACTGACTTCTCAGACAGACAGACTGCACTGCACTCATGTCTCCACCTCCCTACTTCTGGGATTAAAGTCATGTGATCACAAGTGCTTGGATCACAGGTGTGGGCTCAGTTTCTCTTTTAGATCAACCTCATGTACTCTAGAGAAGGCTTGAACTCATAGAGATCTGTCTGACTCTGCCTGCCAAGGGCTGGTATTAAAGGCATGCACCTCCAATGCCTGGCCTCTATGGCTCCCTAGTGTGGCTGTTTAGGATTAAGGTGTGTGCCACTATCTATGGCTGACTAGTGTGGCTAGCTTTGTAGTCTGATCATCAGGCAAGCTTTATTTGTTAGACCATAAACAAAATATCAGCACAGGAATTAGCTCTATGAATTTAGTAGTTCCTCACAACATGATACGACAGACTTAAGGCACTAGAAAGAAACTCCTCTTCCTACAATCTAACCCACTGGCCAACAGTGTCACATTGCACATAACTTCAAGCACCTAATTGTATCAGACTTTCGTCTTATCAGGGAATTATACACATGAATGCAGAAAGTCTATTCAGGAAAAGAAAGTGCCCTTGAGTCTAAAGATGTATCCGAAAATAAAATTCATGTTGGTGTAAACATGAATTGCAATAGTTTATTTTTATCAAATGTTTCTATGCTATAGGTTTTTTTTAACCTAAAATAAAAAAAATCTGTAATTTAAGTCATTATTAGAAAATTGAAGTAAATGTCATTTTTTTTTTTTTTTTTTTTTTT